TATTTGTTTTAATCATTTCACCGCAAGCAAGGAAATTTATTCAATATACTTTCCCCATTTCATAACAACTGATAACGTTAGTCAGAGAAAGAAGAATGAGTCACTCTCCTGAAGGCTAGCATCAGTCATGCTCACGGAAGGTAAAAAAAAGGGTTCTCTCAGACGATAGAAAGACAACATCTTCGGTTTGGGGGTGTTAAAATTAACAAACCATTCCTTGCCCCAGTTAACAACAGAACGTAGATCCTTTGATTTCGTTTGATTACTGGGTTAGATTTTGGGGTATTCTTTGAGGCGAGCACGTTTCAGCAGCCTATCGTATTTATGACCGAGAGAGTGAAAGAAAACTAACGAGTAAGAGAGAGAGAGAGAGAGAGAGAGAGAGAGAGAGAGATACGGAGAGAATTAGAGAGACAGAGAGCGATAGAGAAAGAGGGTGGAGAAAACAAGCGAGAATTAGGAGTCATAGAGTATAGGAATACTGCGCAATGTTGTCCAGTAGACAGTTACTAGTTTAGCGAACTCAATTCTCATCAAGTGCTCCGTACGTGTTATCTTGTGCCAGACAAAACGACGCAATTAGTACATACCCACAAGAGACGGAATTCTAGTTAAAACAATAGAAATGCAAAAAGGGAAAATGGTGGATATGATAAACGGGAATTGATTTGACTGACATGGTCGCTGGCCATCCAACGGCAACACAAAGCAACAAAATAGAAAAATGACAGACAGATAGAAAGATAAACAGTTAACCCAAAGGTATGCTAATGTGCAAGAGCCTTGGACTAAAAACTGCTTGTGGTTGCCGGGAAGTTTGGAAGAAAGCCGGCAGCAAAAAGCAGTAAAATTTCGAAATTGGCCCACCACCACCGCCGCCGCCGCCGCCGTCGCCACCACAACCGGTATAGGTATTCGGTGCAGGCACTTTGTCCATGTTAACTTGGCATCTTGTCAGCCGGGACGTCGCTTAAAGTGACTGTCGTTTCGAATGGGACGTAGAGTCCATTAAAATTTTGACAACTGACGGCCATGATAGAAAAAGGCGGGAAAAAAAAAAACGAACGGGAGGAAGATATTAATGAAAGAAAGAAAAACGAAGGAAAAAGAACATCGAATAACAAAGGAGATATGAATGCATGCAAAGAGAGAAAAGTTTGCTTCGAAGAATTTTCACAACTAATGTGGAAAGTTTCCCTATTTTAAATTGTTTCCGTAGGTTTTAAATATACGACCATCATTCAGAGAGACGTTTTTACGAGTTAACCAGTACAACATTCTGGCATCTAATCACTCTAAGATCTGTAAACCGTCAAAAGAATGTGCTTCGAGTTTAAAGTAGAAGCCGAATACCGGGCGCCCAGATTTAGAAAAAAAATTGTTATAGTTCACTTAATGGTTTATTATTAATGAAAATGTAATAATCATTATTTACGTATTTAAATAATGTTTTTCCTTAATTGGTCTTCTTCGCAAGTTCAAAGGTTATGGTATTTCTGGACGAATTTTTGAACTGATTCAATCTTTCTTATCAACTCGCGAAATGACTGTTGTCTTGAATGGCCACTCTTCTAGATCTTATATTAACGTAGGCACCTCCCTGGACCTACTCTTCGTTGTTCTTATTATTTTTATGACATCTGTTCTCAACTCTGATGACACGACCATTTTCTCCTGTCTTTATAGTAAATTTTGGCGGTTTGCTAAGGTCAAATTGGCAGCTGGTCTAAATAAGGATCTATATTCTGTTGTTAACTGGGGCAAGGCATGGTTTGTTGATTTTAACCCCTCCAAAACGAAACTGTTCTCTTTCAAACGTCTGAGAGAACCATTTTTATCATCCATGAGCATGACTGATGCTAGCCTCCAGGAGAGTGGGAAAAGTATATTGAATAATTTGTCTTGCTTGCAAGGAAATGATTAAAATTCACTATAAAAAGAATTCACTTCTCGATGTCATCTGTCATATTTTTGTTCTTGTTTGTCTTGAAGTTAGAATGTTACAGTCTCTTGCCTGTATCTCTGTCGGATGTTAAGGCCATTTTTACTTTGTGAACTTTTGACCTTATTACTGTTGCTTTGCCTAATTTTGTCTTGCATGTATATTGTTTATCAAGTATTATTTTGCCTTGTTCTTTTTTGTTTCTTTTGTTATTGTCTATTGGAAACTTTTTCAATCCTGCTTGTTGGCCAATTACTCTACAAATAGTTTGATTTACGATGTTGAGAATCCATGATATTGACTTTTAATGTTCTTGGTTGCAATCCCTTTAGGAATGACTGCAATTTCCCCCTTCCGCAAATTTATAGACAAATCATACAAATGCATGCTGAGATTTCATCTTAGTCTATAAGACAGACCACATTTCAGTCTCATCTGCCATATTTTTGTTCTTACTTGTCTTGAAGTCAGAATGTTACAAACACTTGTCCATATCCCTTTTGGTTGTTAACACCATTTTTACTTTGTGAACTTTTGACCTTATAACTGTTGCTTTGCCTAATTTTGTCTTGCATGTATATTGTTTACTTTGTATTATTTTTGCCTTGTTCTTTCTTGTGTTCTTTTGTTGTTGTCTATTGGAAACTTTGTCAATCCTGATTGTTGGACATTTCTGACAATTACATCTAACCATGGCCAATTACCCTTACAATAGTTTGATTTAAGAATTGGAACTTTCAAATTCCATCAAGTACAGAAATTTATAACAGACAATGGATAACATGACAGAAAATAGAAGACAACTTGGAATAGTTAAAGATGCTTTCAAAAAGACTAAACAAACTATTAAGATATACAAACATTTCATTCGAAACAAAAAGTGTGGAACTATCATGTAATATCATTCCTCCTATATGCCAGTGAATGCTGGACAATTTGCAGTTGAAGAGGATACAGGGTAACAGATATGGTTCTACAGAAGGATGACAAGAATAATAGAAACTCTTAACTGTTATGTCATATCTTTGTATATGGCAGTGAATGATGGGCAGTTTTCTTATAAATGCTGAAGTGACTTAAAACAATAGATGTGTTTCTACAAACAGGTGTTAAGAATATCATGGATGGAACATTTGAGAAATGAGGATGTTTTCAGGAAAAAAAGAATAACAAGGACACATACACTTAGAAAATCAGTTGAAAAATCTTTGGATGCATAATGAGGAAAGAAGACTTTGAGAATTCGACACTCACAGGACATGTATATTGATGGCAAGAAAAATGAAAATGGAGAGTAACATACCTAATAAGTTTGTGTGAATGAATGGCGGGGTCGTGGCAAAAGGGAAGGTTAAGAGGTAAACTTTGAGGAAATTGTCGAATTGCCCATGTCCTGAAGGGACACACCATATAAAACGAACGATTAAGATATACAAATATTTCATTAGAAACAAAAAGTGCTTAACTACCATGTAATATCTTTCCTCCTATATGCCAGTGAATGCTGGACAATTTGCAGTTGAAGAGGATACAAGGTAACAGATATGGTTCTACAGATGGATGCCAAGAATAAAAAAGACTCTTAACTGTTATGTCATATCTTTCTTTTGTTATTGTCTATTGAAAACTTTGTCAATCCTGCTTGTTGGATATTTCTGTTAGTTACATTTAACTATGTCATAATACAATATTAAAAATTAATTAAAAAAAAAAGGTTTGTTTCACTTACAGAAATATTTTTTTTCTTTTACAAAGAAGCAATTTATTTTACTTAAATCTTTTTCCAATTAAATCCAATCAAAATTGAAGTAAAGCTTGGTATATTTAAATGAGCGGCGAGCGGAGTTTGAATTCCAGTCAAGTTCGTTATATTCACTTTCGCGCATATAACCTTGGGAAATCTATAAATCCATCTCTTCTAATCGTCCCCAAGGTATGAATAAACAGGTTGAGCCGTATTAGCTTAATTGGTAACCATTCTAGTAGAAGGAAAGCTTTGAATTCAAACCAGCGTGGAGAGGGTTGGGATCCGTCAGGTTATAATGCCCATGACCCACCAGACGCGGTGCCCCTAATGAATTACGGGGTTTGATCCTTATAGTTATGTAATCCGGCAATAATATTGTTAATAATAATTCAAAGTAATTAATGCTTGTATTAATAATAAAAATATTAATTCAACAAAATTAGTATTTTTTCGCTTGATTAAATAATTTAGCACAATTTTCAGAAAATGTAAACAGATTATTTTTTGGCATCATTCGACTAATCTGTCATAATTTGAAATGGCAGGCGGAAACAATGGTTATTACGAAATACGATTGTAACTAACGTTGTCAGGAATAAACTAAAAGAATTATATATAACTTTTCATAGTTTTAGAATTATTTACTCTGATAAAAAAATTATTTTATCTGATAAAAAACCAAAATTATTTACTCTGATAAAAAAACTAAATTATTTACTCTGATAAAAAAAATATTTACTCTTATAAAAAACAAAATTATTTACTCTGATAAAAAAAAAAATATTTATTCTGATAAAAAACAAAATTATTTACTCTGATAAAAAAAAAAAAATTATTTATTATGACAAAAAAACAAAATTATTTACTCTGATAAAAAAATATTTATTCTGATAAAAAACAAAATTATTTACTCTGATAAAAAAACAAAATTATTTATTATGACAAAAAAAAAACAAAATTATTTACTCTGATAAAAAATATATTATTTACTTCGATGAGAAAACAAAACTATTTACTCTGATAAAAAAAAATTAAATGGATATATTTTCTTATAAATTACAACTGGGTCTTGAGAATGGATTTTGTACAGACAAAATAAAAACTTTATTTATATTTAAAATTTGAATTAAAAATAAATAATTCTGAGGAAATATTTATTAAAATGTCTCGGAAAAAATGTTATAACAATTAAATATTCCGGCTTATTTTGTAAGCGCAATTTATTGATGATATATATGAATGGCTGATTCTTCTTGGCTAAATTTATTCTGTTTTTATTTATTTTATTATACATTTTAATATTATTTTTTTATGTATTTTATTATTCATTCGACATTTCCTTTCTTTCTTTCTTTCTTATTAAATTTATTCTTTTGTGTAATTTATTTTTCATTCGGCCCTTCTTTCTTTCTTTCTTTCTTTCTTAGTAAATTTATTCCTGTGTGTATTTTAATATTCATTCGGCCTTTTCTTTCTTTCTTTCTTTCTTTCTTTCTTTCTTTTTCTTTCTTTCTTTCTTTCTTTCTTTCTTTCGTATTGAATTTATTCCTTTGTGTATTTTATTATTCATTCGGCCCTTTCTTTCTTATTAAATTTATTCCGTTTTGTTTTTTTATTTTTCATTCAGACTTTTCTTTCTTTCTTTATCTTATTAAATTTATTCCTTTGGTATTTTAATATTCATTCGGCCCTTTCTTTCTTTCTTTCTTTCTTTCTTTCTTTCTTTCTTTCTTTCTTTCTTTCTTTCTTTCTTTCGTATTGAATTTATTCCTTTGTGTATTTTATTATTCATTCAGAGTTTTCTTTCTTTCTTTCTTTTTTCTTTCTTTCTTTTATATTATATTTATTCGTCGGTGTATGTTGTTATTCATTCGGCCTTTCTTTCTTGCATTTTTTAAATTTCTTTCTTGTATGCTAAATTTAGTCTTGATGAATTTTCTTATTCGTTTGGCATTGTTCCTTAATTTCTTTGTTTCTTTCAACTGCCTCTTTCTTTATTTCGTTCTTTCTTTTATGCTAAATTTCTACGTTAAATTTCCATCTATTTTCTTCTTAATTAATTAAATAATTAATTCTTTCTTTTATGTTTAATTTCTTCCTCGATGTATTTTATTATTTATTCGACATTTTCTTTCATTTGTTCCTTCTTTTTTTTTCTAGATTTTTGTTTTTCTTCCTTGCTTTTCTTCTCAATTAATTAAATTTATTCGTTCGTACATTTCCCTTGTTGTCTTCGTTTCATTTTTTTTCATTCATTTTCCTGTCTTTCTTCGTTTCAGTTCCTTTTGCCTATTCAACCTTCGCCAATATATCCAGCCTGCATTCGTCTTATTCTAAATTAAAGTAGATGTTAAAAGTCATTTTAAACGGACAGTGACGAACCATGACAGTTTTTTAAAAGGCTTTATGTCGATTACCCTCAAACCCAACACCATCATGTTACATCTATAAAATAAGCCGCCATGTTTTTCTTTTATTTGTTGTCGTTTTCTACTTCGCCCTTTTTTGTTTTATTCTCTCCGTTTACCCGTTATTGCTTTTTCATCCTTTTTCTCTATATTGGTTCTTTCTTTCTTGTATGTTAAATTTCTTCGTCGATGTATTTTATTATTCATTCAGACTATTTTTTTCAGTGTGTTCATTTCTATCTTTCTTTCTTTGAGTCGGCATTTTCTTTCTCCCTTTTCTTCTTTCTTCTTTTCTTTTTTCTTCGCTTTTACTGATTTAATTTTAGTTTTTTTTTCATTCAGTTTTTCTTTATAATTCTTTTTTTCCTTATTCCTTTCTCGATTTTGTAGCTGCTTTTTATCTTTCTTTGTCAATCTCTTAATTTCTTTCTTTCGTTCTTTCATTTGTTCTTACATTATTTCATTCCTTCTTTATTTCATGGAATATTTGGTTCTTTTGTTTTTCCGTCTTTCTTTCTTTCTTTCTTTCTCAATCTGTCTTTCTGTCTTTCTTTCTTTCTTTCTTTCTTTCTTTCTTTCTTTCATGGAATATTTGGTTCTTTTATTTTTCCTTCTTTCTTTCTTTCTTTCTTTCTTTCTCAATGTGTCTTTCTTTCTTTCTTTCTTTCATGGAATATTTGGTTCTTTTGTTTTTCCGTCTTTCTTTCTTTCTTTCTTTCTTTCATGGAATATTTGGTTCTTTTATTTTTCCGTCTTTCTTTCTTTCTTTCTTTCTTTCTTTCTTTCTTTCATAGAATATTTGGTTCTATTATTTTTCCTTCTTTCTTTCTTTCTTTCTTTCTTTCTTTCATGGAATATTTGGTTCTTTTGTTTTTCCGTCTTTCTTTCTTTCTTTCTTTCTTTCTCAATTTGTCTTTCTGTCTATCTTTCTTTCTTTCTTTCTTTCATGGAATATTTGGTTCTTTTATTTTTCCTTCTTTGTTTCTTTCTTTCTTTCTAAATGTGTCTTTCTTTCTTTCTTTCTTTCTTTCTTTCATGGAATATTTGGTTCTTTTGTTTTTCCGTCTTTCTTTCTTTCTTTCTTTCTTTCTTTCTTTCTTTCTTTCATGGAATATTTGGTTCTTTTGTTTTTCCGTCTTTCTTTCTTTCTTTCTTTGTTTCTTTCTTTCTCAATCTGTCTTTCTGTCTTTCTTTCTTTCTTTCATGGAATATTTGGTTTTTTTATTTTTCCTTCTTTCTTTCTTTCTTTCTTTCTTTCTCAATGTGTCTTTCTTTCTTTCTTTCTTTCTTTCTCAATGTGTCTTTCTTTCTTTCTTTCTTTCTTTCTTTCTTTCTTTCTTTCATGGAATATTTGGTTCTTTTGTTTTTCCGTCTTTCTTTCTTTCTTTCTTTCTCAATGTGTCTTTCTTTCTTTCTTTCTTTCTTTCATGGAATATTTGGTTCTTTTATTTTTCCTTCTTTCTTTCTTTCTATCTTTCTTTCTTTCTATCTTTCTTTCTCAATGTGTCTTTCTTTCTTTCTTTCTTTTATGGAATATTTGGTTCTTTTGTTTTTCCGTCTTTCTTTCTTTCTTTCTTTCTTTCTTTCTCAATCAGTCTTTCTGTCTTTCTTTATTTCTTTCTTTCATGGAATATTTAGTTCTTTTATTTTTCCTTCTTTCTTTCTTTCTCAATGTGTCTTTCTTTCTTTCTTTCTTTCATGGAATATTTGGTTCTTTTGTTTTTCCGTCTTTCTTTCTTTCTTTCTTTCTTTCTTTCATGGAATATTTGGTTCTTTTGTTTTTCCGTCTTGCTTTCTTGCTTTCTTTCTTTCTTTTTTTCTTTCTTTCTTTCATGGAATATTTGGTTCTTTTGTTTTTCCGACTTTCTTTCTTTCTTTTTTTTCTTTTCTTTTCTCAATCTGTCTTTTTTGTCTTTCTTTTCTTTCTTTCTTTCATGGAATATTTGGTTCTTTTATTTTTTCTTTCTTTCTTTCTTTTGGTTTTTTTTTTCCTTCAATCTGTCTTTCTTTTTCTTTTTCTTTCTTTCTTTCTTTCTTTCTTTCTTTCTTTCTTTCATGGAATATTTGTCTCTTTTGTTTTTCGTTCTTTTTTTTCTTTCTTTCTTTTTTTCTTTCTCAATCTGGCTGCCTTTCTTTCTTTCATGGAATATTTGGTTCATTTGCTTTTCCTTCTTTCTTTCTTTCTTTCTTTCTCAATATGTCTCTTTCTTTCTTTCGTGGAATATTTGATACTTTTGTTTTTCTTTTTTTCTTTCTTTCTTTCTCAATCTCTCTGTCTTTCTCTTATAGAATATTTGGTTCTTTTGTTTTTCCTTCCTTCTTTCTTTCTTTCTTTCTTTCTTTCTCAATCTGTCTGCCTTTCTTTCTTTCATGGTATATTTGGTTCTTTTGCTTTTAATTCTTTCTTTCTTCCTTTTTCAGTTTGCGTTTTCGACACCATCCTTTCATTTCATCTTCCTTTCATCCTTCCTTCCTTCCTTCCTTCCTTCCTTCCTTCCTTCCTTCCTTCCATTTTCTCCTCTTTTCTTCATCTTTCTATTTTCCTTTGCTTTCTTCTTTTTATACGCCCACCATATTAAACAGTTCTCAATTTTTACGTTTTTTCCCTTTATTTCTCCTTCTTTTAATAATTTATTCCTTCCTTCCATCAGATGGCTCTTCTTTGTCAATGTCTCTGACCATTCTCATTTTCTTTTTCTTTTTCCATACATACCCGCTTCTCTTTAAATATTTTCCTCTTGCTTTTTTTTATCTGCATTCCCTTCCATGCCATTTTCTTTCCTCGTTTCTTCTCTTCGTTTCTCTTTCTTAATTATTTTTTCACCTGCTGCTTTTCCTTCTGATTTTCCTTCAAATTATCATTCACTCATTATTTCTTATTAATTCTTTTTTCTTCTTCTCGTTTCTTCTTTGATTCGTTCCTCTATTTTTATCCATTTCTCTTTTTCATCTTTCCCTTTTTACTTTTGTCTTAACTTTTCATTTTTTTTATTTTATCTCGTTCTCCCCGACCGCCATTCCTTCCACTTTTTGTTATTTCATGATCTTATGTATTTTTCGATCATTATTCGAAAAAACACTTAATGTCGGAATGTCAAAATAAAAGAACCTTGCAAAACCAACAGCAATAACACAACTACTATATATATATATATATATATATATATATATATATATATATATATATATATATATATATATATATATATTTTATAGGCAGCATATTTTCATTCAAACAGGTTTGGTAAGCTAATTTAGACATATCATGTCGATTAGTTTTCGTTGTGATCCTTTCAAGTTCACGGATTAATTTTTGGGTCGATTTAGAAAATTCATACATACCTATCTGCTCGAGGCGTATCCATATGTAAGCAAGTGACGTCTCACATTATGAAATTGACAAAGTCCGACAATTATTTTGTAAGTGAGAAAATCATGGAAAATTGTAGTTTAAAAACAGTAAAATCGACCTTGCTCCACTGTGGCGAAATCTGTGAAAGCACGTCAGGCTATATGACGGTTGCGGATAGGATACAGGTTCGATTCCTGTCGGAGGACGCATATATTCTATGACAATTTCTCGGACATTCAAACCTGTAAATTTGTTAATAACGTTTATTATAAACAGAGAATTTACTTCAATATTTGTATCTATCAAAAAGAATGTATAAACATAAAAATATCTTAATATATATATATATATATATATATATATATATATATATATGGATGTGCGTGTATATATATATATATGTGTGTGCATGTATATATAAGTTTATGTATATATACATGTATATGTATATGTGTGTGTATGTGTGTGTGTCTCACTCTCTCTCTCTCTTTACATATATATATGCTTTCTGCATTCTGTTGAGGTTTTTTCATGACTCGATGAATTACTTAATAATCTCAAATCCTCCTTACTTTCTATCATTTGTATATCCTCGCTTGAACCAGCTTCTAATGCTTTGGATGGAGCGGCTTGGTGATGGTAGTCGTGGCTCTCGGAGGCACAGTCCTATGGGTAAAAAGAGAAACTCGGATGAGTTCCACCACGGAATATGTGAACGAGCGGCGCAATATCGAGTCTAGTTCGCTACCGCAGCGTCACTGTGGCCCGTTAGTCCAGTTGCTATGACGTTTGCCAGTCAATATAGCTGTCCGGGTTTCAATTCTCGGTAGTGGACGAAACGTTCGTCCAGTGCTTTCTACATTCTATTGAGGTTTTTTCTAGACTCGATGAATTACTTAATTATCTAAAACCATCCTTTTTTATTTTTTTATTTTTTATATATATATATATATATATATATATATATATATATATATATATATATATATATATATATATACTAGCAGCATGGCCAATCGTTGCTCGTGCTTGATTCAAAAATCGTACAGACTCATACAGCTATTACTTGACTTAAAATATTTTTGCCCTTCCTTGCCTTTAAAGGAGTGCCCTTTGCCGTGCTGATGTTGCTACATGCCTTACTTCTTGCCTATCTCACACTGCAAATTTTTCTTAGCTCTATACTAAACATTAAATCTGTTACGAAAAAAGAACTAAACAAAATGAACACAAAACGATCAGCTTTAAAAAAGAACTCGTAACTGGAAAAACCGAATGAAAAAAGAATGTTAACAACAAATACTTTTTTACACCCAACCCAGTTCTGCGGAATCAGAATCAACGTTGACTTTAAGCAAGCGAATGAGCCAATTGGAGTAAAGTGCCATGCAAATTTAAATTTTTCCCACTTGTGTCGAATGCAGCTATCGATTGTTTTGCATGCTAGCATACTAGGTAACATTCGTGTCAGTCAGCTGTTGGCTCTCACGCTGGTCAATAGAATCTTCCTGTCTATTCGTGGCAGCCAACTATAGGCTCTCACGCTGGCCAGTAGAAAATGGCCGCAAACTATATGAAAACTGCAATAGAAGCATGAAAAAATCGATTATTTCCACTATCGATGGGAGTTGGGAAATGCAAAGTCGTTTTTGGCCTTCCCGCTAAGTTGGAGCATGTGCATTTACATTTTGGTGCAAATCCGTTGAAAATTGCGACCGTGCATTCGTTACACACACACACACACACACACACACACACACACACACACACATCCTGCCTTTTACTCACACACACACACATCCTGCACACACACACACACATCCTGCCTTTTACTCACACACACACACACACACACACACACACACACACACATCCTGCCTTTTACTCACACACACACACACACACACACACACATCATGCCTTTTACTCACACACACACACACATCCTGCCTTTTACTCACACACACACACACACACACACACACACACACACATCCTGCCTTTTACTCACACACACACACACACACACACATCCTGCATTTTACTCCACAAACACACATCCTGCCTTTTACCCACACACACACACACACACACACACACACACATCCTGCCTTTTACTCACACACACACACACACACACACACACACACGCACACACACAGACACACACACACGCACACACATCCTGCCTTTTACTCACACACACACACACACACACACACACACACACACACACATCCTGCCTTTACTCACACACACACACACACACACATCCTGCCTTTTACTCACACACACACACACACATCCTGCCTTTTACTCACACACACACACGCACACACACATCCTGCCTTTTACTCACACACACACACACACACACACACACACACACACACACACACACACACACACACGCACGCACACACACACACACAGACACACACACACACACACACACATCCTGCCTTTTTACTCACACACACACACACACACACACACACACACACACACACACACACACACACATATATATATATATATATGAACTTGAAGCGAACTTTTCTGAAGAAAGTAATGGATTTTTACTAATCCAACATATTTTTTAATCACTTTAAGCGTTATTTTTAGTGGATACTCCTATTTAAGTAGACGCGCCGTTTATTTATTTTCGACTACATGTATAATCAAAAGCCTTGTCTTTGATTTTATCATAAAATGTATTGATTTTTATTTTGCTATAAAGAATATATTGATTTTTGCGATTTGCAGGCAAGTTACAGATCGTGTCAACTATTAGGGAGAAATGATTAAATATACTTTAATGTTAAAAAAATAGTCATTACTATTATTGTTTAGGCAACAAGCATTAAAACATGACACAAATAACTTCATTGTGGAAATAGGAATTTTCGATAATATACGCATTTTTTGCCAATTTACGGTAGTTATTTTTTAACCTGGTATCAAAAACGACATTCTTGTACATGTAGTTATGAATGATATTACTAAAGTTTTTTACGTTAATAATTATTTGTGCTCACTTGTAGACATTATGTGATGATGCGTTAAAATTTTAGAATAAGGCAATAATGAAAATTTAAATTTCATCTCTCTGATAGATGTCACGATCTGTTAAATCCGAAAAGTTTTTCGGGTTGTAGGAGGTTAGTGCCAAATGTTCCCAAATGGAGCCCAATCTAAGTATTGATCGGGTTCGACACTGCTCAACTTTATTGATCGAACGAAAAAGAGTGTTATCAGCGCTCTTCACAGATGAAGCAACAGGGATGCGGTTCTACTGATGAATATACTTAGAAACAAAGAAAAGCATACTGGACTGCTATGTAATATCTAACCTTCTATATGGCAGTGAATGCTGGACAATCTCTTCAGGGATGAAGAAGAGACTTGAATCAACAGAGATGTGGTTCTACTGATGAATATCCTTAGAAACAAAGAAAAGTTACTGGACTGCTATGTAATATCTAATCTCTTATATGGCAACGGATGCTGGACAATCTCTTCAGAGATGAAGAAGAGGCTTGAATCAACAGAGATGTAGTTCTACTGATGAATATCCTTAGAAACAAAGATATATTACTGGAATGCTATGTAATATCTAATCTCTTATATGGAAACGAATGCTGGACAATCTCTTCAGAGATGAAGAAGAGGAGATGTTTCTACTAGATGAATATCGCACTTAAAACAAAGATGTGTTACTGGACTGATGAATATCCTTAGGCAAAATGCAAGAGAAAAAGAGGCTTGAATCAACAGAGATTGGTTCTACTGATGAGTGACTGCTATGAGATGAATAATCAACTAAATCTCCTTTATACTGGCAAATATCTAATCTCTGGCAACGAATGCTGGACAATCTCTTCAGGGATGAAGAAGAGACTTGAATCAACAGAGATGTGGTTCTACTGATGAATATCCTTAGAAACAAAGAAAAGTTACTGGACTGCTATGTAATATCTAATCTCTTATATGGCAACGAATGCTGGACAATCTCTTCAGAGATTAAGAAGAGGCTTGAATCAACAGAGATGTGGTTCTACTGATGAATATCCTTAGAAACAAAGAAATATTACTGGACTGCTATGTAATATCTAATCTCTTATATGGCAACGAATGCTGGACAATCTCTTCAGAGATGAAGAAGAGGCTTGAATCAACAGAGATGTGGTTCTACTGATGAGTGTCCTTAGAAACAAAGAAAAGCATCCTGGACTGCTATGTAATATCTAATCTCTTATATAGCAGAGAATGCTGGACAATCTCTTCAGAGATGAAGAAGAGACTTGAATCAACAGAGATGTGGTTCTACTGATGAATATCCTTAGAAACAAAGAAAAGTTACTGGACTGCTATGTAATATCTAATCTCTTATATGGCAACGAATGCTTGACAATCTCTTCAGGGATGAAGAAGAGACTTGAATCAACAGAGATGTGGTT